GATGTATATATACAAAAAGTACATTAAATCTCCAGGTACTATTGATTCAATGCAGTCGGACGTCTACAATCAAGAAGCGGCCCATGCCTTAAAAAAAAAACATAAGATGACAAAAAATAACAACTGATTTCTACAAATTAAAAACCGAATACATACATATCATAGTGATCTAGCAACAAATGGAATTGATCAAAGTCAGAGATGAGATGTGCCTATAGGAAAAAAAAAAACAAAAACAACCCACTCATTTACCTCTTTGGGTGCCGAAGGTGGTGGTGGTGGTGGAGGATCTTTGATAACCTGGTGAGAAAAGAAAAAATAAAAAAATCAAATATAAAAACCTCCACAGGGAGTAGAGAAAGTAAGGACGTGTGCACACAATAATTAGATTGGTAAAATGCTGTGCTAAGCGCCAAAGAAGTTCTCCAGTAAACCCTGCCTTCCGATATGTATGTTCCTCCTTTGGAATCCAGGATCAACTGTTTCTTTTTGTTTTCTTGCGTTTTTTTTTTTTTTTTTTTTTTTTCGCATCCTCCGCCTCGGCCTCCAGAAGCTGGGATGACAGGCGTGAGCCACCGTGCCGCGCGCTTGTTCGCGAGAGTTCCGGGTGAATAGAAGAAGAAATATCCTGGTGGTTGTGTGTGGACAGCTTATTTTGTTTTACCAAATGAGGGTGTGAAATCCTTTAATGCTCGCCGGCCAATTTATTCTGGCGGCACCGTGAGAAAAACCGCGTGGGGCGAAAGAGCGAGCGAAGAGAGAGAGGCGGTGTATTGTATTAAAAATACTACAAAAAAGGCCCGGGCGCGGTGGCTCGCGCGCAGCGTATCATCCAATGCGAAGCGTCGGGAGCGCGGGAGGCGGGAGGATCGTTCGAGGTCAGGGGTTCAGAAACCACCCTGAGTAAGAGCGAATGACCCCCAGTATCTACTTATAAAAGGAGAGATTAAGTTGCAGACTGAGACAGGTATGATATAGATCATGAGTATAGGAGTAAGGACTGTATATATCTATATATAGTAGGCGGAAAAATTGCTGGGCATGGTGGTGCATGCCTGTAAGTGCGCGCAGCTACTCGGAAGGAGCTGAGGCAAGGAGGATCACTTAGGCCGGCAGGAGCTTTGAGGTTGCCTGTGACGAGGCTGACGCCACGGCCACTCCACTCCTAGCGCTGGCCAATAGAAGTGAGACTCTGTCTCAAAG